ATATATCGACTGGGCTTCGCCATTATCATGTCCAATCCCTGGGTGGGTGGACGGGCTTTCAGAACATACCGGATCAGCTTACCACGTTCGAACCACATTTTTTTTTCCACAGGAGTTGAGCAACCCGAACACCCGTTGCGGGGGACCCCCATGGGTGAGAGCTGAACAACTACCAAGGCCGCGCGAACGGCGATGTTGCTTAACGGTGGCGTTGGAAACATTTCCGACATGCGAACGCATCGAACGACAACGCCACAGCGAATTGAAGGACAGCGTGAGCCATGCGTTCCCACAATACCGAAACCGACATCGCCGTTACTTTTTCTTCCCATCGACCGGCGCACGCGCATGCCGAGCGCGCAGCGGCGGCTGCGGCCGCAGCGCGCCGAGGCGCCCAAGTTAAACAGTTTTATAAAGCTCGATGAGAAGGCCACGCGTAGACGCGCATGGCCACTTCCTCTGACATGGTGTCCTCGCTGGCGCCGTAGCGTGCCCACGCCTTTGGCCAAGACCACAGGGCTGCTCGCGCGAGAAAGTGCACGAACGTTCCACACTTCTCCAGATCCTCTGGCAATTTAGGCAGTACGAGAAGGCGCGCGGAGGCGGTCAGTCGCCCGGGAAGTGCTGGGCGCTGCCCGGACAGACCCGGCGGCACCGAGCCGCGGTGGCGCCGTGGCCGCGCACGTCCCGCCGGAAGCGGTCCGAGGCAGCCCGGTAGACGGCCTCCTCGAGGCCGAGGTCGGCGGTGAGCAGCTCCGCCAGGCCGGCCCGCGTGTCGCGGTGCTGCGACTCCATGGGGTGCAGGTTCTCGAACGAGACGGGCAGGCAGGCGCCCCCGAAGCGCAGGTGGAGGAGGCAGACGGACAAGGGCCACTCCTCCACGAGCCCGACGAAGCCGAGCCTCTGCACGATGCCCACGCTGACGCCCCGCAGGTCGGGCGGCGTCGCCTTCGTCGCCCCGCACATGCTCCCGGTCAGCAGGCGCGCGGTGCACTCGTCCACGCACGCGGCGTACTCGTTGAGCCGCTGCGCCTGCGCCGGAAGGGGCTCGCGCCACAGCTCCGCCGGGCAGCCGCTGTCGTAGCCCGTGCAGTTGTACTTCCGCTGCATGGGGAAGCAGTCGTGGAAGCTGTGGAAGTACCCCGACACCACTCGCGAGGCGGGCGACCGGAACATGCTGACGACGCGCTCGGGCGGGGTGGCGCCGCCCAGCTCGCGAACGAGGATGGGGTCGTGGCCAGCGTGGAACCACTCGAAGCTGCCGTTGCACCACTCCTCTTTGGGGTATTGGCGATGGAAGACCGCCGGGTGCGTCACTCTCACGCTGGTGGGGATGTCGGGGCAGCCGAAATGTGCAAGCAGCGATGCAAACGAGGACCCTGTCTTGGGGAAGTGCACCCAGACCAGCGGCAGCAACCGCTCCCCCTCTTCAGTGACGTTGGCAGCTGCGTGCTTTTGAACAGGAGGCGGCGCGACAGTGACGCTGGCTGCCGCCTTCTTTCTCGGAGGAGACGGCGCAGCAGTGACGCTAGCTGCTGCATGATCTTGCCCCGTCGCAGTTTCATGTGCTCGAGGAGGTATCGGCGGCAACATCTGACTGAGCATGTTGCTGGCAACTTGCAAAGGCATGCCCCGTCGCATCATAAGGAACACCACAAACGCCAGTGTTGCGGGGATGAGGGCGGCACGTGCAAGAACACATCGCGTGGAGACATTTGCATTTCCTACCATCAGAGAAGGGAGGGAGAGGAGGGAGTGATGAGAGGGGGAGGAGCAGGAGCTGGCAGTGCCACTCAGTGCGCTCCCACAACTGGCCGCCTGCTCGGCAGCAGCAAGTCGGCCGACCTCTGATCTTGAGCCAACATGGCTACGGACCACGTTCGAACCACATTATTGGGCAATGAAGGCAGTGACTGTCACTCAATGTGAATGGTTGCAGATCTCCCCTTCGCAGTGTTTCTTTTTTTCTGGCCCCCCCCTATTGCACTGGTGAGTTCGCTTCGCTTCAGTAGTGGAGTGTCTGTACAATTTTCCTCCGTGAGCAAGTGTTGGGGAGCTCTGCAACAGCGATCGTGAATATATGCAGTGGTCTGGGTGTCAGAGCTAGCGTTTTTTCTCGATGCTGGCCTGCCGCTCGCCAGTCCAGCATGCAGATGGCAAGTACTCTCGGAATGGTTGTGCACTCATCGTGCTGTTAACCTCGTGCCACGCCATCGTCCTGTCCATCCGTGTCTGCCATATAGTGACTGGGCTTCACCCTTGTCATGTCCAGTCTCTGGAGGGTGGGCGGGCTTTCAGAACGTACCGGATCAGCTCAACACGTTCGAGACACATTATGTTGATGATGATGATGATGACGACGACGACGACGATGATGATGATGATGATAATGATGATGATGATGATGATGATGATGATGATGATGATGATGGTACTACTGCTGCTGCTGATGTTGATTTTGATGTTGATGTTGATGATGAGGATGATGATGATGATGATG